TCCTTATAGTCTCAGAGAGGTTAAATCCACAGCTGTGTGACATGTTTAGACGCTCGTAAGAAACACGAAGCAGTGTGGCTTTACTTCTGTACAAAACAAGGACATAATGATGAAGACTTATTTTTTTCGCACCGTTGTTTTCTTTGTGTGAATTGAAAGTGCCTACAGAATAAAATACATTAAATTACGAATTTCAGTGTTTTTTTTTTAACCTTTTATGAAGAGTTGGGTGAAGCACGGGGCATCTTATTTAACCCTTTCACGCATAGAGGCTACTACAGTGGACAGCTTTTCAAAAGGTGTTTTCTTGTATATGCATGGGTTATGATGGCAGAGTAGCACCATCAGCCACTACATAGGACCCTATTGCATCATCCCATACACTGCTACTCAGTGGAAAGTCAGTGTAAGTGCATGATACATTTCTCTAACAGCACGGGGCATCTTATTTAAAGGTGGGGTAGGTAAGTTTGAGAAACCGGCTCGAGATACACTTTTTGTTATATTCCATGGAATGCTCTTAACATCCCGATATCAATGAATATATTAAATGCTTTGACAATAAATAAAAAAATGTCATCTGTGGAAGCCGTAGTACTGTAAAAAGTACGACCAATCATTTTAGCCGGCCCGGCTAAAATAACTGGATGGCCTACCTGCCTGTCAGCCTTCCATCTGTGCACAAACTTATCTCGTGTCCTCATTGGTCATGTGCGCGTTCGTGTGTGTGGGAGGAGGGGCTCTGTAAGGAAGTGGCAGATTTTCTCCGGCTGTGTATTTTCAAATTCTAGTGCACTCGAGCTGGTTTCTCAAACTTACCTACCCCACCTTTAATGTTTTATTATTAATAATATTTTTTAAGAACCCTCTGAAGAAATCCTGAGTTTGACGTTATCTGTGCAACAATCTTTAATTAATAAATAAATAGAAATGCAAGAGCAGATTGTCAGAAAGTAATAAAATCCCCCTGACCTCTACTTAACCCTCTCTGATGCACAGGATATGGGGCAAACATGATTATATTTTATAAATACACATTTTTGTTTTTTATTGTAATATATATTTCACAACATATGTAAATCCCATTAATAAAAAAAAATAGTTTTTGTACCAAAATAAAAGTTTTGGACATAAAAAAATACCCTCCAGGATGAGTCAAGATTATATTTCTATAGAGACTAGACATAACTAAACTTGATGACTTAATTAATAGTTTTTGGCATCAATGTCTCAACAAAAAAATTATATATGTAATATAATAATTTCTGAGTTTATACATTTCACATTTATATATCCTAATGCCTAACGTTCGATTCGATAAAACCGCTCCTTCATCGATATTAGATACAACTTTTGACCTGTGTTGTGCCTCAGAGGGTTAATAGGGCAAACCACACACACACACACACACACGTAGCTTTAACGTTCATCGCTGAATCTTTGCTAAGAAATATTCTTACCATGTCAAATGTTTTCATATTGCTCTATTTAAAAAAACGCTGCAGAAAGAAAGACGAGAAGCAGGAAAATCAGCGTTGTTTAAGGAAAGAGTAACAGATCGTCAGTCTGTGAGAAAATCTCGTGAATCTATTTTTAGTCCTGATATCTGAGCGGGTTCACACACTCGTCTGGATCTCTCTGCCTCCAGGTCTCAGACAAACTCACCTTTGATCGCCCTACAGTTCATCAGAGTGTGTGTGTGTGTGTGTGTGTGTGTGTGTGTGTGTGTGTGTGTGTGTGTGTGTGTGTGTGTATGTGTATGTGTATGTGTGTGTGTGTGTGTGTGTGTGTGTGTGTGTGTGTGTGTGTGTCAGTCTCCCAGGTTTCCTGAGAGGTCAGAGTGTGACCTCTGAACTTCCAGGAGCTGTGACATCATGAGTGATGACCCGCTCAGCGAGAGGTCAGCGTCCAGACAGCAGGCGCACAGACGCAGAGAAATAAACAAAAAGCAACAAATATATAATATATGAGCGAAGAAGTCTCATTAAGGCCACGGCCATGTGTGGGTTTTCAGACAACATGACCCGGAGACTGAGGTCACTGAGAGCCCCATGACCCCATTATCGGGGCCAATGTGGATTTGAACTCTTATTCTCAGGGATACTTCTTGGGCATCGTATTTTAGTTCTAATCTGTCTTTTAAAGTGTTAATCTTAATGTTTAATATTGTGTGTTTTATATTTAAAGTACGTTGTTTTTGCAGAGCTAAATCCCAGGTCAAATGCACGCCATGTTTCTCTCAGTGATCCTGATCTTATGTTAAATGTTTTCCTTCGTTTCTTAATATCTGTCCTTGTGGATGTTGCAAATGGAGCTGCTGTGGCGCAAGTCAAATATACTTTATCCCTTATTGTTTTTGTATACAAGTATACTTGAGTAAAAGTAGAAGTATTCCTATCTTTCACTTGAGTAAAAGTAGAAGTACTCAGATCTTGTACTTGAGTAAAAGTAGAAGTACTCAGATATTGTACTTAGTAAAAGTAGAAGTACTCAGATCTTGTACTTGATTAAAAGTAGAAGTACCAGATCTTGTACTTGAGTAAAAGTAGAAGTACTCAGATATTGTACTTAGTAAAAGTAGAAGTACTCAGATCTTGTACTTGATTAAAAGTAGAAGTACCAGATCTTGTACTTGAGTAAAAGTAGAAGTATTCCTATCTTTCACTTGAGTAAAAGTAGAAGTACTCAGATCTTGTACTTGAGTAAAAGTAGAAGTACTCAGATATTGTACTTAGTAAAAGTAGAAGTACTCAGATCTTGTACTTGATTAAAAATAGAAGTACCAGATCTTGTACTTGAGTAAAAGTAGAAGTACTCAGATATTGTACTTAGTAAAAGTAGAAGTACTCAGATCTTGTACTTGAGTAAAAGTACCAGAGTGTAGGAATACTCTGTTACAGTAAAAGTCCTGCATTCAAAATGTTCCTCAAGTAAAAGTAGAAAAGTATTCTCATCTAAATATAGTGAAAGTAGCGACAGTAAAAGTAGTCATTGTGCAGATTGGTCTATTTCAGAATAATATATATGATATGTTTTATAATGATTGATCATGAAAGTGTTCTCAAAGCTGGTAAAGGTGCAGCTAGTTTGAATGACTTTGTATACTGCAGGGTAGCTTGTGGATTTACTCCAGGTGGAACTACAGTCTGATTCAACCCTTGTGTGGTGTTCATATTTTTGTTACTCAGCCAGTGTTCGTGGGTCTGGTGGACCCGCTGCCTTTTTGGGCTTCAATTCAACACAATCAAATTATTTTGTGTTAAAATACTCAACAGATGTTTACTTCATCCCAATTACAAGCAATATAAACAGCATATATGGTTCATATTTGCCCTTTTACATTTGTTAGATCACATTAATGAATTAAAGTGCTACTCGTTTGTTTGCCCGCTGACCGGCTGGTCCTGTGGCTCGGCTTTTCTTTGTAACTAGCTGATGCTCAATCTCATCCTCTTCTTCAAAGTCTCTGTCAGACTCACATTCTGAAACCTCTTCCTCTTCCTCTCATCATCAAATGGTTCTCTCTCTTCCAGAATCATTTGCAAGGCCCTCTGAGCAGAGCATCTTTTGGCCATCTTGATCATTTGTGATAAGGACCCAATCTGGCGAAGCTTTATTTATTGTGTCTTGCCCCAAATTTGCAGCTTGGATAGAGTGGGAAAAAAATAAAGATCCCGCAAAACATAATGCGGGAATGTGAGAGCAGACACACACACACACACACACACACACACACACACACACACACACACACACACACACACACACACACACACACACACACACACACACACACACACACACACACACACACACACACGGCCCAGACAGGTGCACAGGACCTACAATTTCCTGAACACCATGTATCTAATGTAAATGTGTAGGGGGGGGGGGGTAAAGTGAGTGGTCATTGAAAATGTGTTCTGATATATGTTCTTCACAGAAAATGATAAGGCCATTTAGTGTGAGTTTGAAAAAATAATTGATGATATCATTTTTCTTTACCTACATAATGAAAACGGGTCCCACAGACCCAAATACCATACAAGGGTTAAGACTTGATTATATTTCACATCATTAATCAAAATCTGCAAAGTAACTAAAGGTATTAAATACATGTAGTGGAGTAAAAGTACACCATTCACCTCTGAGCTGTAGTGGAGTAGAAGTACACAGTAGCCAAAAATGGAAACACTCAAGTAAAGTACAAGCACCTCCAAATTGTATTTATGTTTTTTTTACAATCAGAGTAAACAGATTTACTCTGATTGTAATGACAGCCTCTCTCCAGAAGGGGGCAGCATGAGGACAGATACTGATCCTGCTGCTGCAGAAATGTCAGTAAACTGCTGATTATGGTTTATTTTTAAATCAATAACAACAGACATAATGCGGGAATGAGAGAGCAGACAGGTGTCGGGGCTTGAGTTTATCAACAAGGTTGCAACCTTGTTCGGGAATGGCAGGGGCGGACACACACACACACACACACACACACACACACACACACACACACACACACACACACACACACACACACACACACACACACACACACACACACACACACACACACACACACACACACACACACACACACACACACACACACACACACACACACACACACACACACACAAGGCCCAGACAGGTGCACAGGACCTACAACTTCCACCCGACACCCTGTATGTAATGTTCTGATATATGTTCTTCACAAGGCCATTGAGTGTGAGTTTGAAAAAATAATTGATGATATCATTTTTCTTGACCTAAATAATGAAAACGGGTCCCACAGACCCGATCACCATACAAGGGTTAACACTTGATTATATTTCACATCATTCATCCAAATCTGCAAAGTAACTAAAGGTATTAAATACATGTAGTGGAGTAGAAGTACACCGTAGCAACAAATTGAAATACTCAAGTAGTACCTCAACATTTGACAGTGACACATAATAACAGCCTTTGCACAGTAGCAGAACATCTGAGTGTCCACCTGGTGAACACTGTCATCCCATGAAATGGTGTCCCTACTTCTGGGGTTTTCATTCAAAGCTTGACCGTAGTGTGGACAGGAAATGAAGGGGAGGAGAGGGGGAAGTGCCCTGGAACAGAAGTCCTTATCACAGGGGGACATTAAACCATAAGCTATCAATCTTGCTGTAAACAAATGGGTGAGTTGTTGTTTAAAAAACGAGCCTTAGTTGATGGAAATATCACATGGCCTTAATGTTTTATAGGAAGCTCAAGTGGCCATTTCATGGGATCTTTTCGAAAGATTGGAGATATGATAAATCAACAAAAAACGAGGTGTTTCACGTTTACAAACTGTGCTGGTGACTAAATGTCCTTGTAGGAGTGTGGATTTTGTAATCATATGACTGTAAATAAAAAATGAATTACTTTTGAATCATAACTCTGGAATGTTTTTAGCCAGGATTATAATAATGTTTCATTTGTGCCAATATGATCTGCCTATACACCATGAAACAATTAATTCTTCACACGTTTCAAATGTTTTATTTCTGTGTTTTGATTTAAAAAAAAAATGGAGAATGAATGGAATGGAAAAAGTGCTTTATTATAAAATATTTAACATGAGGAGTCAGGAAAGTTAAAGAATCAAAACACGGCTGATTTTGAAAACCTAATGATTCATTGTGAACGATTACACCACATTACATCAACTGAAATGTCTTGTATTTGTCCACTAAGCCACTAGATGTACGATGATCAGAGTTTTCAGAGAAGTTTGGTTGCAGATTTGTGTCAGGCCTGTTGCACCGACCTTAACCTTGGTCAAAATCTACACTTGCTATTCGATGAACGTGGCAGTAAGATCATCATATTTGTCTTTTCACAGTATATTGAGTTTTAAATGATTTGTAGGCCATTAGGCACTTTCACACCGGAGTACTTTTCCCGTACTTTTCCCAGAAATAGTTCCGATAGTTCCTGGGATGTTGCGTTCACACCAAAAAGAGGAGGGACTTTTTCCTGGGAGAAAAAGGTTCCAATTTCTGATTGGCTGGGCGAATTGCAAACCACGCCCCGTAAAACTCTGAAAAGTTTTTGTGAAGCCGCCATTTTATTTCCTTGCATTATTAGCATTAGCATTAGCCCAGCGCATCAACGGAGAGAGACTAACTTATGGCAACACAAAATAAAACGTGGGGTCGGTGGAGTGATGAGGTGTCGGCGCTTCTGGTGATTTACGCGGGGCTTCGGGTGGCGATTTACTGCCACCCAAAGTCCCGGACTCTGGGGGGCTCTGGGACTTCGGGTGGCAGTATACGCCGTGAAGTTGTTTGCGGCCTGCCAGTAAACCCAAAGCAGAAGAAGTGACGTCAGCGTCTTCATTTCATGCTTCATTTGCGTAATCCTCCCTCAGGGACTTATTCCGGTGTGAACGCGATTTACTAGATAGTTCCGGGGAAAAGTTCCGGGAACTATTCCTGGGAAAAGTACTTGGTGTGAAAGCGCCTATTAGCCGCTTTCACACAAAGTACTTTGCCGTACTTAGTTCCCAGCACCCCCATGGAACTAAGAGCCGATCGCGTTCACACCGGAATAAGTTCCCTGAGGGAAGATTACGCAAATGAAGCCGCTGACGTCACTTCTTCATCTTCTGCTTTGGGTTTACTGGCAGGCCGCAAACAACTTCACGGCGTATACTGCCACCCGAAGTCGGGGACTGGCTTCAGTAGAAGCTGCTGGGACTCCCATTTGAGCTGTAACAATTTTATTTATTCTTTATTTATTCTCTCTCTCTCTCTCTCTCTCTCTCTCTCTCTCTCTCTCTCTCTCTCTCTCTCTCTCTCTCTCTCTCTCTCTCTCTCTCTCTCTGCCTATTATTTTCTGTCTGATGGAGACTTCATACTACTTACATCTGATATTTAACTCCTTCAGCCTAATTTCAGCTGCAGAAACCATTCAACTATTAACTTATTCAGCTATTTCAGGACATTGAGGCTATCAATGTTGTTGTTTATACCTTTTTTTAAACCTTTTCTTTTAAATATTAAGCTTCTTCACTATTTTTCCTACTCTGCAATGCATTTGAGTTGTAACAATTTTGATTCAAATCATTTCACTTTTCTGCATTTCTCCGCTAAGTTCAGCAACACACATACTTGGTTTTTGTAGCTACAAGCAGCATCTAATCAGAGCAGACATGCCCACAGACAGACAGACAGACTTGCATGTAATATCTTTATTTAACTCCTTCAGCCTAATTCCAGCTGCAGGAACCATTCAAATATCAAACTATTCAGCCTTGTGGAAATGCATGTTCTAGTTAGTATCTGTTTATGATTCTTTGTTAGTTTAAAAGTTTAGTCAAATCAAATCATAGTCATTTATTTCCCAGGTTTTTTTTCAACAGTTATTTCCATTTTCACTCATGGGTCTACAGGTTTTATTGTGATGTGGAGGCCATTAAGTGAACGAAGCACCAGTCGATTAATTATCTGTGGTGTTTGCGTCGGGTCCTCGATCAGATGGTATCTCTGCAGTGTCAGCGCTGTTGACACTTTCAGCTCGTTCATGGCAAAGTTCTGACCAATGCAGTTTCTGAGTGAGGAAAACAGCACCAATGAGTGGAATATGGTGACAAATTAAGCTTTAAAGTAACATCATATAGGAAGACAGCACTTAAGGTTCACACACTTGTTCCAATATGACTCCCTACAAATAAGAGCAAAACAAAAATGTATTTGTAATAAGATTGTGCAGGGAAAAACAATTAATATATTATGTTTGAGACAATTTTGCAAACCTGCTGCTATAATTCAAATCATGAAGGTTAACAGGTTCATTTGTGCAAGCTTGACTCAATAAAAATAACTGTTTTCAAAGTTAATCTTCATACGATACGATATACTTTATTGTCCCCGTAAGGACATTTTGTTCTGGACTCCGTCCTGCATAGATCGTACTTTATTGATCCCAAATTGGGAAATTGTTGTTGTTCCAGCAGCATAAAAGGCATTTACAATAAAACAAAACTACAAAATAAACGTTTGATGCATGCAACTGTATGCTGTTTTATTCACATTCATCTGCAAAGAACCATTAAAGACAAACCTGCAGGCAAAGTCCTTCCATCAAAAAAGGTAATGGTCTTGGTGGTGATTCTGGACATTCCTGGTACCGGAGGGTAAAGGCGGAGGGACTCTTTTATGAACATTGTAGTGTATGGCATTTTACTGAGATCCTCCCTAAAAAGTAAACAGACAAGTGTTAGTTCAACAATTGGCAGCACTGACATACATTTGCATTGTTTTCAAATGTAAGCCCACCACTCCATGGTGTCCTTGCCATCCAGGGCTTGAAGGACCTCATCCCGGCACATCTTCTGGTACTCTGGGTGGCAGGCCAGAGAGTAGAGGATGAAGGACATGGCACTGGCTGTAGTGTCATGGCCTTCAAACATGAAGGTGTCCACCTCTGCTTGTATATCTTCATCTGACAGACCCTGTTTGTTCTCATCCTTAAATAAAAGGCAAACTTAAAACATTAGTAATGAACATATTATGTCTTAATGTGACACTACTACTCCAATTAAAAACCGTACAAGTTGCAGGCCTATTGGAATTGGCACAGAAACAGCTAATGTCTGTCTGATCCTTTTACAGGTCAACTGTGTTTGGAAAGAAAGGACATTTTAGTTACCGAGTTACAGAGGTGTCCTTGAGTAGCTTATTGTGTCATATTGATTATATGTGCACAACAGAAATGTATAACTTTTAAGTTGCTGCTCAAGAGTCCCTCATAAGAGTAAAATAACCAGACTGTTGCCTTTGTACCAGTGGCCATTGACCAGTGGCCTCATGCTCAGCATATCAATGCTCATTCGAAAAACCTTCTGCGTTTCCTTTTGCCCTAGTTTTTTGCCCCTTGCAGGTTAAGCACATACAGTATAATATTTGCGTCATCTCAGGTTATAAACATGACACAACTACGCTTTTTTAATGTGCGGCAACTTTAAGACTGTTCATGCTTTAAATATCTCATTACTAAAATTCTCACGATTATTAATTCATTATCTCTGTAGAGAGCTTGCTGCTTTGACAATTGCAGTTTTTACGTATGTTGTTTTTTTTCATTGATCAGAAGTGTCTCATTTTGTGAGTTCAATACATGGCACATAACATACTCTCGCTAAGAGAAGGATGTCCAGAAAGTCCACGTTTCTCTTTCCCTGTACGCGATCCAGCTCGTTCTCCTCCTTGAGTGCTTCTTTCCTCTTTCGTATGACTTCCCCTTCAAAATAAGAGAATAATTCATGAGCATATCCCCAGTAACTCTTAAAATGCAGCAACCATAAACCTACAGTTTAGAGCCTATACAATTTCGATGTATGGGCAAGCTAAATTCAGTTTTAGATTGTCATGAAGGTAATATCTGTGAACATCTTACCTGTGTGACTGTGAGCCACCTTGCATGCTTTTCTTAGTCTGAAGCCATGTGGGCTGAGGTAGAAAATGAGGTCATTGTGGTATGGAAACGTCCTGAACCGCAGGTTAATCAAATGAGTGAGCTCATACACTGCCTTGATGTATTCATTTGTTCCGCTGAAATAAGAACGTAGACAAACAGTTCAGACAACTGAGAACATAAACCTGTAATTGTGAATGGCGGGAAAACGTTTGTATGGACTCGCCTCTCGGTCTGACAGTTGCTGTTGTAGCTGAACGCACACTTCATGATGATGTCCAGTGTCATAAAGCTCACGTGGTTAAACAATTCAAAGGACTCATTGGTTTTTGCATAACTCTCCCATTTGTCCTGGCAACAGTGAAAGAACAGATGTGAGGTCTCAGCAGGACGTGGAAAAAACTTCAACACACTTAGCTGGAACAACTTTGACCTAAAATAGCTGCAGCATCTGGAAAGCCTAAGCCTATATTTCCTCCACATCACTTCACCATTGACTACTTATTATAGCACTTTACACAAAAGCATTTTCCTTGTCATTAACGTGCCAGCATGGTTTTAACAGAGTCTGACATCAGATTTATGTAGGGTTTCAAAACTTCAAAATGGAAACCTGGGTTCAAGAGCCTTCTGTGGCGAAACCACTTCTGACCTCCAGACACCAATAAGCCATCACCTGAAGACAGACAGAGGCAGTATGGATCAGCGAGGGAAGCAGCTTAACAGAAAATACTGTGCAGTAAACCAAAATATGCTGTAGGAGAAAGTAAAAGCAATCTTACCAATCCAAGGTTTAACAAAAGTATATGCCACAGTATCTTTTGGCTCTGTTACGAAACAAACAATTACAGATTATGTTACATTGACCTTTGTTTATTGAAATGCAGATAATAAACCAATATGAGTCTGCATGTATACGACGTAGTAAAAAGCATTGTCAAAAGATGAATTTGACTTAACTGCTACATTGTAAAGGTTTATGACTTCAGTAAAGATATAAAACAATGGCTCACACACCTGTAGATGTCAATATAGTTTTCACATAGTCTGTATGGCGAATGCTGAGGAAACAAACAAAGGGACCAAACCACATCTGGAAAGCATAAGGGTACTGCTGTCCCCATTTCACCATCTTTTTCAAGTCCGACCCATCCTGTTTAAACTGAAAGTAAAAACATAAAAACATAGATTAAGCTTAACCAATATGCTGGAGCCTGAAGAGGACAAAGTTATCCCCTGAGTTGTGATGCTCTATAAACTAATACTCAACTGCTAAGTTTAAGCCTTAATTGCATCCAAATTGTTACTTAAATAAATGTAAAGAAGTTCAAATCAGGGACAACCCAAATTAAATAACACCAATAATAATAATAATAATAATAATAATAACATAAGAATACGCTTTGAATTTCCTTTTTTCGCAGTGTTTTCTCAGGCTTTTCTTATTGCAAATCTGAGTCTGTTGGCACATGATGAGACTGGGGATGACCTTTGACAGTTGCAACACTGGTGAAGCTGCAAACAGGGACGGTTCATCAATCAATCAATCAATCAATCAATCAATCAATCAATCAATGTTTATTTATATAGCCCAATATCACAAATGTTACATTTGTCTCAGTGGACTTGCAGTGGTTGCATTCATTCTTATTCCTCTGATCAGAAACATGCTAGAGTGAGGACAGGAAGACACATTCTACATCTGCTGCTGAAATGACTATTCTCCCATGTAAATAAACAAATGATATGTTACATTTAATCATCTTTAAATGACAGGGTAGTAAAACGAACATCATTTATATGTGTTTCTTGGAAGTTTTATTTCCATTAGAGTGAAAGAAAACATGGAAGCAAAATAGACCAAAATAACAAGTACATGAAAAAACGATCTTTTTGCCTGTAATGTCCTGAAACAGTAACTTCATAATTTTGATTGTTGGCTGCTCATTTAATAACTATTAATTTTACTAGTTTGTTGTCTGCTCTTTTGCTTAGTGAATACTAAAGAAGACCATTTGTAGAATTCTGTTGAGTATTAAACAATTGCGTGAGTGTGAGGGTATTAAAATAAATTGGTCAGTAAGTCAGAGATTCTATTATTATTAATACATTATTATTATTACTTGATTCTTGCACTTGCTTCTGCGTCACTGAACAGTCATTATACACGTTACCTCCATTAGATGTCCAAAAAGCCAGTGCGACGGTGGTCCTGGAAACAATTCCATACTTTGCATCACAGCTCTTCTTTGGGCGAGCAAGACTGTCAACTTATAAACAACGGCAACAACACAGAGCACCGCGATCAAGTGGTGCATGTGGGGTAAGCCCAGCTGATACTTCACGAAACCCTCAGTTGACTCCATGCTTGCGACTTCCTTGATGATGAGCAGTGATTCACACAACACAGTTTTGTACACCACTACAGCTCCGTCTGTAGTCATTAGTGATGGGAATTATGGCTCTTTGAAGGGAGCCATAATTCCCATCACTTATGGCTCCGTTCCTTTCAAAGAGCCGTTCAAAAGAGCCGTTCAAAAGAGCCGTTTTTTTTAAAGGGGGCAGGGTTACTAGGTTTATCTGCGAAATAATCACCAGGATAATGATTGACTGTATTGCCAGACCTAATTGTCAATAATCTGCATTGTAAACATGACACAAGGTGGCGCCATATCCATGTCATTCATGTCAGTGAATGTACTACTTTGAATGTACCCTCTGTATGTGTTAAAGGGGACCTATCATGCAAAATGCACTTTTGTACGTCTTTTATACATGAATATGTGTCCCCGGTGTTCCAGGGAACTCACCAAGTGTCAGAAAACACAACCCTCTCTATTTTCCTCCATACCCAAATCTCTAAAAAAGGGGCTGCAACGGATCTAATAAAAACTGATCCAGATTTGAACACTGTCCTGACGTCAGGACAGTGGCGCTACGGCTATTGGGCCAACTCCACCAATCAGGAGGAGACCGCCACGGCCATTGTCGTTCGAAAGCGCTGGAGACGCTGTAGTACATATGCCAGGCCTGTAGATGGTGCTGTTCTCACAGAATCAACCCATGCAAAAACAGAGCTAAAAAATGTCAAATTGAGCAAAATGCATGATCTGTTTGGTATTTTGAAAAAAAAAAAGTATAAATATGCCTTATATAGGTATGGTCCTACACTATATTATTCAAATATAGCATGATAGGTCCACTTTAAGTTAGTAAATGAGTAAATGTGCTTAGTTACTTTGAACTGAGCACATATTTACTCTGATTGTAATGACAGCCTGTCTCCAGAAGGGGGCAGCATGAGGAGAGATAATGATCCTACTGCTGCAGACATGTCCGTAAACTGCTGATTATGATTTGTTTTTAAATCAATAACTATGTATACACTTCTTTTGTTTTGTTTTATACGACACCTGTTATATGCAAGTAGCTTTTAATGGATGGATTTTGCACCACAGACCGGTATGCTCAGGTTTCACTGGGTATCTTTTGAGCTCCTTGATGCATGCTGTGCCATGATGCAACCAAAACCAAAGTAAAAAAGAAACATGAGAGCAGATGTGGAGCCTATATGAATGCAGAATTAAAAAATGTGCTTCATTCGGCACTAGCCACTATTTCAAGCTGTGAATAGTGACTGAGATTTTGCCTTGCATGCATGTACAATCACTGACAGATACTTATCACCAGGATGTGTTTGTGTGTGAGAGAAAGGGGAATTAAATGCATTAAAAATAACAGTTTGTATGAGTGTGAATGTGCAGATGTGTCAGATCAGACAGTTTGACTGGAGGCGGGATCAGAGTGAGTCATGAAACATCATCTGGACTTTCTGAGGGAGAGCAAGATAAGATTGTTTTTATTTTATCTTGTAAATGTGGGGGAGATATGTTTTTAAGCATATGGTGTATATTCTTTAATCTGATAAAATCAATGCAATCAGTAATCTCTGGTGATGTGACCCACCCGGGATATCTGTAATCTCATTCACACAAACAGGATCAGCACGAGGCTCAGGTGTCGCGGCACAGCAACACTTTAAGTGATTTGGAGACTGAGTTGAGGGCCTGTGGGAGTCTGTGTGTGAATCTTGTGTTACCCCTTTTCTAGTATTTTCCTAGGCTAGTTTGGTTCGCAGTTGGTTCCACTTGCAAACCACTAAGAAACCAGATTTCCTTTCCACCAACCAGAGCACTAGATGTAGATGAGCCACGTCATGACCAACGCCAGCGTGAATTTCCATCACAATAACAACAATTGAGTGTTTCAAGCGTGACCTATTTTTGTAGGCTGTCCCAAAAGTTAGCATCTCCCTGGTCGCCTCGACAAAAAGCCAATAGGATGTTTCCATTGGATTTTGGAATATTGCAGAAAATGTTGTTCAGCAGGATAATGTCCACGTATTAACACCACCTTATGAGTTTTGAAGTAAAAAAGGGTTAGGGTTAGCCTAGCCCCCAAAACCAGTCTGACTTGGCAAAACAAACTAAATAACACTTGTATTATTTTTGGCAAGATACGTACTTGTTGCTACCATGATAGTTGTAATTTGAAGTATGGTGTTTAAGTAAGGGATAAATAGTCCGTTGTTACCGTTTGAAAAAAAAAACGGAGCAACGCAACGGCAGGAAGGCGGAGCTTTTTGATTACAGATTTGAAAACATCGTTGCTTGCTTTAAAATTAGCACAATTCATTATGTCAAACCTTGGAAAGTATCTAGATATCCCTGCCCTAATGCCAAAGTAACTGGCAACTGAATATGTGTCGCCGTTTGATGTCTATGTCTGGACCGCTGCGTAAAAAGGAGGGTTTCTGCCAGTTACTTCTCCGCTGTTTTCTTGTCGCTCTTGTCTTGTCAGTTAGAAAAGCAAACTGCATGCAGTTTGCTTTTCAGCCAAACTGTATACAGTTCAATCGACCGGACTTCTTTCTGCAGATTTGAGCGTCCTTAACAACGGTCATAAATCCTTGACAGCGGTCTGTCTGTTCTGGATTAACAACGTGTCACGTGTTCTGAATTGACCAATCAGAATCGAGTATTCAACTAAGCCATGTAATCGAAACAATATATCACACGTATGCCTGGTTGATGTTGCAGGACAATTCTTCTACTCCACACACGCACAGACGATTTATGGGCATCGATATTTACGTGATAACATTTTAGCTCAAATGTGTTGTATCAAAGTTGAGTGGCTGAATACGACTTGACACATTCCCCCACATTCACTGTGATTAACCTCCACCCCGCAACAGCGCTGCAGGAAACCCTGCCCGTCTCCACCTCCCTTTACACACTGGTGGCAGGAACTCAAAATCTATGTACAGCTTTCAGCGAACAAAGCCCAACGAGTCGTCTCCCTGAACGCCTGTTTAATTCCCCCGTATACCCAGATAGAAGAAGGTAAGGAGGCAGGAGAGTGGCAATGAAACATTTACATGAAATGTAGATTCAAAGGCTTTATTGTTACCTGAACAATAGCTACGGCTCCTCCAACAATGCAACATACAATATACTTAACACATCAAAGGATATCAAAATAGTGCAGAGGAATGATGCAAGTGAAACCAACCAAAGCATACAACAAACGTAATGTCTTCACTACAACAACAACTAACGTGTTTTTCTGACATGTCTTACTTGCTTGTACAAAAAGCAACAGCATAACGTTGTTTTCTGTGGCTCTTTAAATGTCCTAAAATAACCCAAATGCCTCCAGGAAATTAGAGAAGCTATCATGCTGCAAATTGGGACACTTTGATTAATTCTAGAACTTAAAAGTCAGTTCATCTCCATCTCTTAAAACCTTTCCTCATCCTGTGTTTACCTCTGTAACATAATGACATCACAATGTAACACTAGCGCTTCTATTGGATTGCGCGCCTCCAACACATTGTACGTGATAGGCTAAGGGGCGGGACATCTCTAAGCTGTTGACCAATCACAATAGAATCGGCCAGCTAACCAATCAGAGCAGACTGGGCTCTGGTTTCAGACAGAGGGTGAAAAGAGGTGCTTTTTGAACATTAAAGCATGGAGACATGTCACAGGAGAGACACTACATACTGATATACACCTGAACATCATCAGGAGAGGACTCTTTAAAGTAGAGACACTACATACTGATATACACCTGAACATTAGCAGGAGAGGACTCTTTAAAGTAGAGACACTACATACTGATATACACCTGAACATCAGCAGGAGAGGACTCTTTAAAGTAGAGACACTACATACTGATATACACCTGAACATCAGCAGGAGAGGACTCTTTAAAGTAGAGACACTACATACTGATATACACCTGAACATCAGCAGGAGAGGACTCTTTAAAGTAGAGACACTACATACTGATATACACCTGAACATCAGCAGGAGAGGACTCTTTAAAGTAGAGACACTACATACTGATATACACCTGAACATCAGCAGGAGAGGACTCTTTAAAGTAGAGACACTACATACTGATATACACCTGAACATCAGCAGGAGAGGACTCTTTAAAGTAGAGACACTACATACTGATATACACCTGAACATCAGCAGGAGAGGACTCTTTAAAGTAGAGACACTACATACTGATATACACCTGAACATCAGCAGGAGAGGACTCTTTAAAGTAGAGACACTACATACTGATATACACCTGAACATGAACATGATATGTCCTCTTTAAAGTTTCTGATCAGCACGTGTTTTGGTTTTGGTCCAAATTGCACCACCAGGGTCCGCAGAAATACACCCAGCAAGTGCAAACTGTTATCGAGATTGTACATGTTCAAGTGCTTGCAAATTATTATACTTTAAAAAAGTGGTGGAGACATGTCTTTAGATTCCCCAGTGTAAGTGGCGCTGAAGGCACATAAGGCCAGAAAAACTTCAAAATATGCCCAACTATATCAATGCATGTGTGTGTGTGTTTATTTATTTGTTAGTAGCCATTTACACCTGTTAGCATGTGTTTCCTCCATCTTGTGTGATGACGGTGATCATTGTGTGTGTGTGCCGCCACACAGAGTACGGGTGTTTCTTTTTTTATAAAGCGATGTAGATTTGAGTGGAATAAAGAGATTAACTGTGTGTCGATAATCCTCTCATCTTCTCACGCACACACACACACACACACACACACACACACACACACACACACACACACACGCGCACACACACACGAACGCATGCACGCACACACACAGTCCTTGTTTTCTTGTCTTTGTGTCTTTGTGGGCGTGTTGATTTGTGTACATCCTTCTACATCCTTCACAGTTTTCTCTGATGACCTAGCTTTGCTGCAGCACTCTTCATTTACATGTTTAAAGTCAGATTGGTCTCAGGAGAGGTTGTTGTTTATACTCTAAAAGGCTTTAAAAATCAAAGGTTC